CATCAAAGAATGCACCAGGTGCTACAATCATAGGTTTTTGTTGAGAGTTATTCTACAAACGATCTATGATTTCTCGAAGCTTGATAACGTCTTTTGCATATTGTGCAACAGTAACACTTGCACCAATGCTATTAAGTCCAGCCAGTTCATTGCCTGTGCAGTGGCACACGCCTCAGTGAGCATGAACTAAAGTCGTTAACTCAACCAAGAGTAATTGAATGATTTAACTTACTAAACTCCCATGAATTTATTTGATAATTATTCTCTACCGTGTATTGAATAAGAGCTTCGGCATTGCTATAGTTCCAATTTCCTTCCCATTGAATTCCTTGCGTCTTGTACTTACCCAAGAGAGCGTTTAAGCCAAAAGTCACAATCGCCCTGTTACATCAAAAAAAATTTTTTATCTAGTACAGAAGGGGAAATAGAAAGTAAGAAAAAACACAAAAGAAAGATAACGTACCCTGTATTTTTGAAAAAGTTGTTCAAATTGTCCCACCTTTCCATATACAAACATCCCACCGAGAAGTCAAACAATGAACCTTTGGTTGCTTGAAATGGGTGACAAGTTCCCTCGAAGCCAGCCCCAACGTTATAAATCAATTTGTCTTGTAAAGTGCCTCCGACTCTAATCCTTACAGACTTGAAAGCTAATGAAGTCAAATTATGTTAGATTTTTAACGGAATGTCGTAAAGAAGAAACATATTTATGCATTGTTAATACTCAAACCTTGAACTGCTTTGTTTATGATAGGAAATACTCAAACCTTGAACTGCTTTGTTTATGATAGGAAGAGTTAAATCCTGGAACAAAATAGAAGAAAGAGTTGATTAATAAAATACTACAGAGTCGCATTTTCTTTTCTTTTGATGTCAAATATTCTCACCAAATTGAGCATAGAAGCATGACCATCCCAAACACAAAGTTTGGACCAACGACACTCGTCATGGGGCCAAATGTCCAAAGTAAAGCAAACGAAATTCTCATCAGTTTCAGCTATTGTTGTAGTTACATCAACCGCAATTGTACCCGTTGTAGCATTACGACCCAAAATGGTTGGGATGAAAGCAAGAACAAAAACCAATAGAATTTTCTTTTCCATTACTGAATCAACTCCTGTCCAACAATTGAAATGAGTCGAAATGAAGAATTTTGTTGATAAAACGTAAGCATATCAAATGATCTTCATCAAAATTTTGACGGGTTGTCACCGTTGATTTGTTATTTGATGTCGGGAGACATTGAGATATAATAAGGGGAGAATACAAAAATATGGTAATGATGTTACCTTTATATTATTTTGGCAGTATGTCAAACTTGGAGTCTTTGACGTTGTTGAAATGATGGAACAAAAAAAAGGTTCCCGAGACTCTAAATTGAGAAATTCAATCTGTCAAAATCAAGTTTATCAAGGAAAGGAAAGAGCGGTGAATTCAAATTGGAGCCGCAAGGGTTTATATATACTTGAGATTCTGCTGTTTCGATTATATGTGAATTTAGGAAAGGCATTAAAACATAGAGTTACATGTTAGTTCCAATTTATTGAATTTCATAACATTAATAATTAATTGTATTTTTAGATTGTGCAATTAATTCCTTTTTAAGATTCTGGACGTTTTTGTTTCACCAATGCTTTCAATGACCTATGTAAGGTTTCTTCATTCGTTTTTTTTTTCATGTTAAAATTTAAAAAATACACTACTTAAATATTATTCACTATTTTAATGACCAAAATAAATCATTAACTCATTTTTCTTTATGTCACTCTACGAATTTCGGTGCGTCCAAACACCGGATGTGACTGAAAGACTATAATGCATGTAGAATGTAAGAGAAGGAAATGGAAAATAGTCATAAAATTTAGCGCAGATTAAAACTTTACAAACACTGTTTACAGTTCTAAAGTGAAAACAAATCAAGTATGTGCTTAATTCATGTTCATTTAAAGAGGGGAATGGGAATCAAGATGCATGCTTAATAAAGAAATATGGACTACAAAACTGGTGGGCTCGATAGACGCTATGGGTCAACATTCCTCTATGACTACTGAGCTCCCGAGCACCCCCTCGCCACCACCAGCATCATCATGGACCTAAAAAAGGGAATGTAAAACGGGATGAGTATATAGAAATGTACACAGTAAGCAAACTACTTGTAGGCTCTCATTACACCCTTGACCTAGCGGGTTACAACGGGCTATCAATAGGATCTAGGTGTGTCGTTCTTGTTGTGCACATACTTATGTAGCTAGTTAGCCTTCGCAACAGTGTTCAGTTTCTTGAGTTGAGGCGCTACCTCAAGAACACTCTCACAATCAAGTGGGGACAACATAGTGAGTGCTAACCTACTCTTCATCCATAGAAAGTAGCCAGCGAACCCATCCCATATGCCATAAAGTCGCCCAAAGTCGGGGGCGCTACCCTCTATATGTACCAGTTGTATTGAGCGTCTAGGTCTCTAGGGTAGTTTGATTGTTGACGTAGTTCAACGTCTTTAGGATTACGCAATTTCAACATCCTGAGATGGATTGGTTGGGAGCACGTGGTTTCACCCACTGATCATCTCTCACAATTCCATAGCGCTCGTCCATTGAAGGCATTCCGTCCTAGGTCGTAGACTAGTCGAACTAGAAACAAACAACAGTCTAAGGTCGTTTCTACTGCTAGTCCTCTACAGGGAGAATTAAACATTCAATCTCCTGGAGATGATGTACAATCAATCATGCAAGCAATTACACACATGCTATACGGGGCAATAACATCAACCAAGCACCTGAAGTGCAAATACAAAAGATCTCATCCTCCAATCTAGTATGACAATGTGCAAGCAGTATAAAAACGCATAATACGACATGTGAGGTTCAATTCACCAATATCCATATAGAAGAGAACATAGTCACACAGTTCACCAATATTCCAAGGTACTGGTCAAATCGAGCTAACCGTAGGGTTTCTTTTACTAGCATGCAGGGAAATCAAAGTGATCCCTTCAAGCACTACTTAGAAGTCCATGTGGTTACTTACAAGTCTATCGCGTGCCATCCCAAGTACAATTTCTAGCCAAGGAGACGTCCAAAAATAACAAAATTTCTCTAAGGGAACCTAATTCACATTAAATTTATTGTTAGTATCGAAATCGAGATAAAAAATTGACAAACTGGCAAAAAAATAGGGACTCCCCGGGCCGCATGCACCAACGAAACGCGCAAGGCTCCATGCACAGTCAGCGTGTGGGCAGAACCCCACTTCAGGACCCAGCAAATGCAACATACCCTCGAATTATGTGGATGCAACACGTGGAGCTTAAGAACCGATTAGGGGCTACTCGAGTCAGGCACGGGTTGTTGGGTTTGACCGCGGGTCGACAGAATGGGGCGTGAATCGGGTTGAGTCTGGGTGACTCGTCTCCACAGATTGTCCGACACGTTTATCAAGAAGTAGGACGATATGTTAGGATTGCACAACAACACACACTCGATCTAGATGAACACAACGAACAAGATAGAAAAACTGTAAGGAAGAATATTTAATAGAAGTTTATATTGATGACTTCAAGGATGTAGAGTACCAGTGAAGACATATAACGTAGAAAGTATATCTTTACATCACTGCCTAAGGAGTATATATATGGTTTAGTTTAATTTATATAACTTTATCCGATATAGTCATCTACTATATATATTAATTATCAATCGTTTAGTTTAATTTATATAACTTTACCCGATATAGTCATCTACTATATATATTAATTATCAATTATATATATAGTTTTACCGTACATTTACTATACATATTGTTTACTATTCATGCCTATTTACTATAGTTGACCATTTGTTGTATATGTCATTTATATAATTGTTTACTATTCATGACTATTTACTATAGTTGACCATTTGTTGTATATGTCATTTATATAGCCTTACTATGTGTAAGCATTGAATAACCTATAAATAATCAGCCGACTCCATAACCTAACACGATACATGTTCTTGGTTGATTTAGACGCGTTCTCCGACCGACTGCTTGACATGTTCCTGCAACTTATTCGTGGTTCGCCTGCACAAGCCCAGAATCTAGGGAGTGCTTTATGTTTTTTCGATTTTCAAACTTTCTTTTTTTGATATTGATATCATCTAATTCGTAATCCAAAATGATTAGGCTTCTTAACGAAAATTGTAGACCACATATCCAGCGCTCCGAAAGTAATTTTTAGCCGAACACAATCTAATCAACGCGTTCAAACTTTCGAAAAACTACAAGTCCTTATTGAGCTTTGAAATCTCAAAGAACTTCGATTCCTACACGTTTTCCACCAAATATGAACAAGAAATCCGCAATGCTTCCTCTCCTAGAACAACACACTCAGGAATAAGTTCCTAAAGACATCTACAACTCTCAAATCTTAAAAAAGAATAACCCAAGACTAAATACCCATGGACTTACCTCGAGTTCTTGAACGATTCTGGGCGGAAACGAACGATTCAAAACCCGATCTTCCTCAATTATATTCAGTTTTCACCACTCGGGGAATTCCCAATCGATTTCGATCTTCCAGGCTGGATTGAAACAAACCCCGTTATCCTTACTTCCTCTTTGTTCTTCCTTCACTAAACCCTAACTTCACTCTCCCTCTTTTCTTGATTTTTTTTTTCCTCTTCTTGTAGATATTTTCAGAGGGAAAGACAAAACCCCTGAATATTACACATTACCACGTGTCATAAATGATCGGTTTATGTGTTTAACACTGATTTTGGATCAATCTTATATCATATAAGAATTTAAGGTCAAAATTTAAGGTTTGGATACATCGTATTGTCAACATGATATAAATGTAATAACAATATTGAGAAGTGCATAAATACAAGATGCATTCAGTATTATGTTTTTTATTTGAAAAATTTATTTTTGAGACTACATGACTCTTGTGCATCTAAGATAAAATTAGTTGCTTTCCGGACTTAAGAACAAAAAGAGTGGGCTTAAAAGAAAGGAGTGGCAACCGAATCAGTTGCATGCTGGAGCTACAAAGTGAGGGACGACAATGAAAGCAATGGACCAACCAGCAATATGTATAGAAGAGTTACTCTGACGGTAGACAGGTAGAAGATTTGGTATGTCTCCTTCTTTCGTAGTCTCCAATGGATTTCCATTTAAAAGCACCGTGGAACTTCTAACTAGACCATCTTTTGGAGTCAAATGGTATTCCTCTCTCGGTGAATCTATTTTCATTCTTTGACCTTTTGAAGCGTTTCTCTTACCTGAACTCAGGTTGATGTTGTTTTCAACGTCAATTATAAAGTCGGTTGTATTGCTCAAATTGATGAAAAGCAAGGTTACACCGGTCTACATAAAATGATAAATTAGGATCAATAAATGGTATCAAATAAAGTTTTAATTTATTTAAATCTAAAAACAACTTCTTACTCTTCCTCTCGAGCAATGGGCATAGCTACGAAGGTCAGAAGAGACATTATTGTCAATTTTGAGAACACGGGGTCCCATGAGTCGATGGAAGAGAAGTGCACTAATCAAAAAAAGAAAATATCGAACCAAGTAAGAATTTGTTTAAAGATAGATGATTTGAAGACCGGAGAAGAAGTGGTATAATTTTTATAAATTAGAAAGGGTTACCCATAGTAGTCTGGCGTGGGAAGTAAAGTTGAGGATTTGATAACACCATAGAATCCACCGATCAAAGTCTGCCTACAATATACTTTTGTATTGTACATTGAAGCCATCCCGAGCTGATCCAAGTACCTAATGCATTCAATTCATTCTGTAAGTACTCGAGCATTGTTCTTTTCTTCATGTTTAAATGGAGACGAATCAAATCAAGAGGGAAAAAAAGTCGAAATAGATTTGATTACCAAAAACTATTGATAAATGTATAGGAGATATGAGGACTGCCACCCTGATAAGCTCCACCAGCTTCTCCAACCCAAGCGGCACCCCAAGGGGCATTCTTTTGTATCACGTTCTCAAGATGTTCAAATGTGTTCGATACTTGAGAAAGATACGTTGAATTAACGAACCTATAAATCAATTTGGGGTCATCGCCTACAAACCAAAAACACACTTAGTAAGATTTATATATAAAATGCATAACGAGGATGGTAGTAAGTATCGCAGTCAAACCTGCACCCATGTTATATATATGATGAGTGAGAACGTCGACAACTCCTGGTCCAGTTTTTCTAAGAAATTCCCCGTACCATTTCTCATCAAAGAATGCACCAGGTGCTACAATCATAGGTTTTTGTTGGAAGTTATTGTACAAACGATCTATGATTTCTCGAAGCTTAATAACGTCTTTTGCATATTGTGCAGCAGTAACACTGGCACCAATGCTATTAAGTCCAGCCAGTTCATTGCCTGTGTAGTGGCATACGCCTCAGTGAGCATGAACTAAAGTCGTTAACTCAACCAAGAGTAATTGAATGATTTAACTTACCAAACTCCCATGAATTTATTTGATAATTATTCTCTATCGTGTATTGAATAAGAGCTTCGGTATTGCTATAGTTCCAATTTCCTTCCCATTGAATTCCTTGCGTCTTGTACTTACCCAAGAGAGCGTTTAAGCCAAAAGTCACAATCGCCCTGTTACGTTAAAATATATATATATATCTAGTACAGGAGCGATAAATAGAAAGTAAGAAAAAACACAAAAAAAGATAACTTACCCTGTATTGTTGAAAAAGTTGTTCAAATCGTCCCACCTTTCCATGTACAAACATCCCACCGAGAAGTCAAACAACGAACCTTTGGTTGCTTGAAATGGGTGACAGGTTCCCTTGAAGCCGGCTCCAACGTTATAAATCAATTTGTCTTGTAAAGTACCTCCGACTCTAATCCTTACCGACTTGAAAGCTAACAATAGAAGGAAAATTAGGTTTGATTTTTAACCGAATATTGTAAAAAGGAAACATTTATTCATCGGTAGTACTCAAACCTTGAACTGCTTTGTTTATGATAGGAAGAGTTAAATCCTAGGACAAAATAGAAGAAAGAGTTGATTAATAAAATACTACAGAGTCGCATTTTCTTTTCTTTTGATGTCAAATATTCTCACCAAATTGAGCATAGAAGCATGACCATCCCAAACACAAAGTTTGGACCAACGACACTCGTCATGGGGCCAAATGTCCAAAGTAAAGCAAACGAAATTCTCATCCGTTTCTGCTATTGTTGTGGTTACATCAACCACAATTGAACCCGTTGTAGCATTTCGACCCAAAATGGTTGGGATGAAAGCAAGAACAAAAATCAATACGATTTTGTTTTCCATTATTGAAACAACTCCTGTCCAACAATTGAAATGAGTCGAAATGAGGAATTTTGTTGATAAATCATAAGCATATCAAAGTCTCTTCATCAAAATTTTACTGGGCTGTCACTGTTGGTTTGTGATTTTATGTCGCAAGAATACAGAGATATAGTAATAATGTTACCTTTATATTATTTCGGCACTGTGTCAAACTTGGAGTTGTTGACGCTGTTGAAATGATAGAACAAAAAAAGGATTCCGAAACCCTAAATAGAGAAACCCGAACCTTCAAAATCAAGTTTAGAAAGGAAAGAGTGGTGAATACAAATTCGAGGAGTGGAGTTTATATACACTTGAGATTATGACATTATAACTTGGTTTTTTTCTTTTAATGTAACAGTAAAAAAAATTAAATTTACCGCTCCTAATATTAATGGGTTTCAAGTTATTTATTGAAGAAATTAAAAAAAAAAAGTTCTAAATTAATTTATAAAATGCATTAAAACACAAGGGTCTCTCATGTTGGTTTCAATTTGTTGACTTTCATATCTTTAATAATTAATTGTATTTTTTTTTATTGTGCAATTAATTTTTTTTTTAGAATTTTTTTGACGTTTTTTTTTTAAGAAACTGTTTTCAATTATCATAATTATTATTTTATTTTTATGTCAAAAGTTTTTTTTTCTTTAAATTGAAACTTAACCAAATTTCTTCGAGCTTAAAAAAGAATATAACGATAAACGAAACCCTAAAACAAAAAATGTTCGTAGTCACACTTCTCTCAGTCTCTCTAAGCTCGAGTCCTAGACAATTATTAGTGTTCCACTTGACTCTGAGACGCCAGAGTGAAAAATGAGTACATGAATGAACTAAGATCACTTCAAATAAGAGTGATCGTGATAATATGATGGTTGAGAAAGGTCTAAAAGAATCGAAGTTACAACCTATACCAACAAGGTGCAACTTCCTTTTCGTTGACTCAATCTTATGAATTTCGAACGTTTAGGTTGGAGCAATTCTAAGTTAGGTGATCTTTTGAAAATTTTCTTAAAAAACACGTGTTAAAAGAACCCGTATTGATTTATGAGGATAGTATTCACTCTTAGAAACGGTGGAAGACAAACAAGTTCCTTTCAACTTATTTCTCGAAGTTTCACTATTGAAGTATGCACTTTTATTAATTTTAATTATTTTTGTGTTATAATTTTTTTAGAAGTATTAATCGACATTAATATTGGATGGATCTCACCATTGACTTTTCTATAAAATTGAGACTTCGATATTTTCGTTAACATCGACAATATTGATGTCCAGTAACTTCAAAATGCCCTTGAATTTTCAGAAATGTCAATAATACCCTTAAACTTTATAATAAAATTTCTAAGCTACCTTTAAACTTTTAAAAGGTCAATAATACCCTTTAAAAAAATTAAAAATACTGTTAGGGTTAGATTTGGAAAGAAATTAATATTTAAAAAATACTTTTAAATTTTAAAAATATTTTCTCGAGCCTAAGTATTTTTATTAATTATTTAATAAAAATGTGTTGAAGGGTCAAAAGTCTCATTAGCACTAAAGAGTATTATAAAAACATAAACGACAACCATTAGCTATAGAAAATTATGCTTAAAAAAATATGTTAATTTGTAGGAAGTTTCTAACCATTTTCATATCAAATTCCAAGTCTCCATTATGCGTCTGAGTCAAAATCCAAGAGAGTGAGAGACAGATAGGTCCTTTTCGCATCGTCCTTAACCCACAGCTTAGGGGGTTCAGTCCTTTATCCCCTCCGATTTGAGCCTTTTCTGAATTTCCTTAGCCTTTCTTCTAAATCGATTACCAGGAGAAGGGTTTTCCACGAACCCCGTGTGGGTTTTTTGTTCGCTCCTTGCTCGGATCATCCTCTGCGGGCTGCTGAATTGACTTGAGGCTCCTATCCGGGTGTTCTTGAGGGTAATTTTCTGTGTTCTTTAATGGGATTCTGCTCTGCTCTGCTCTGTTGGAATTGTTGTTCACTTGTTTGTTTATGAATTTGATGAGATGGGTTACTGCGTTCTTTTTCATTTTTGTTTTCTATCTGTCTGTTGTGGAACTTAGAACTGGGGAAAAGTTTAGAAGTGTTCTACCCATGATTTTATTCGATTCCTTTCTGCTGCAGCTCCCTTTTACTTTCCTTAGGGAATCGCATTTTTCTTGGTTTACGAATGGTGAGATCCCGCTTGAGTTGGAGAGGGGAACGAAGCATTTCTTATAAGGGTGTGGAAACCTCTCCCTACTAGACGAGTTTTGAAACCTCGAGGAGAAGCCCTTGAAGGGAAAGTCTAAAGAAGACAATATCGCTTGAATGGTTACAAATAGTATTAGAGACATACACCGAATGGTGATCGGAGTAAGGCTAGACCCTCTTCATAGTAGACGCTTTTTAAAAATCTTGAGGAGAAGCCTGAAAGGGGAAGCTCAAAGAAGACTAGCGGTGGGCTTGGGCTGTTGCAAATGGTATCAGAGCCAGACACCAAGCGGTGTGCCAGCAAGGACGTTAGGCCCCAAGGGGCGAATTGCGAGACCCCACATCAATTGGAGAGGAGAACGAAGCATTCCTTACGAGGGTGTGGAAATCTCTCCTTAGCTGACGCGTCTTAAAATTTTGAGAGAAACCCTTGAAGGGAAAGCCCAAAAAAGACAATATCGACTAGCGGTGGGCTTGAGTTTGGAGGACAAGGTCATAGTATCTATTTCTTAGCATAGGAGTTATATTATATGTCTTGTGTTCTTCCCTTGATATCAGATGCTTAGACTGAATTTTTGCTTGTTTCAGCCTACCTTGTGGTTCATTGGACACTTCGAAATTTTGCACGTCGACCGTCAAATGGGACTTTGCTGTAGTAAGGTAGGAGTTGTTTTGGGACTTTTAATCTAATGATATAAGTCTTCGAGATTTTGGCTTGATGCATGTTTTATGTGTTGATTAACAATGATCTAACTGGGAGGTTATTGTGTCCACTGTTCCCAGCCTGATATCAAAGATGAGGAGTCTGAGCATCATGTTGAGTTTGGTGCTGGAAATGTGCATCTCATCACAACCAAAGTAGCTTGGGATCAAAAGCTCGAAGAAGCCCGTTCGGATGGCAAGATCGTAAGATTTTCGTTTGAGTTGTTCGGTTACTGAGTGATCTTTTTTTTTTTTTTCTTTATTTTTGTGAGATCCGACATCGGTTAGAGAGGGGAACGAAACATTCCTTATAAGGGTATGGAAACCTCTACCTAACAGACGGGTCATACAAACCTTGAGGGGAAGCCCTTGAAGGGAAAGCCCAAAGAAGACTATCTGCTAGTGGTGAGCTTGAGTTGTTACAAATGGTATTAGAGTCAGGTTCTGGGTTGTGTACCAGTGAGGACGTTGGGCCCCAATCCTGCATCGGTTGGAGAGGGGAACGAAGCATTCCTTATAAAGGTGTGGAAACCTCTCCCTAACAGACGCATTTTAAAAACCTTGGGAGGAAGCCCTTGAAAGACAAGCCCAATGAGCGGTGGACTTGGGCTATTATAAATGGTATCAGAGTCAAGTTTCGGTGGTGTGTTGGTGAGGACGTTGGCTCCCAAGGGGGTGGATTGTGAGATCTCACATTGGTTGGAGAGGGGAATGAAGCATTCCTTATAAGGGTGTGGAAACCTCTACCTAACATACACGTTTTAAAAACTTTGAGGGGAAACCCTTGAAGGGAAAGCCCAAAGAGGACTATGTGCTAGTGGTGGACTTGGGCTGTTATAAATGGTATCAGAGCAAGGTTTCGAGTGGCCGAACGCTGGGATAACACATTCCTTATAAGGGTGTGGAAACCTCTATCTAACAGACGCGTTTTAAAAACCTTGAAGGGAAAAGCTCAAAGAGGACAATATCTGCTAGCGGTAGGCTTGAGATATTACAATTTTTTTGGTGAATCACTTTCATAATCTCGATTATGCATCGACAGGTGATTGCGAACTTCAGTGCGACATGGTGTGGTCCTTGCAAGATGATTGCTCCGTTCTACTGCGAATTATCGGAGAAATACCCGTCATTGATGTTCCTAGTAGTTGATGTTGATGAATTAAGTGTAAGTAGTCATTCATCCAACTATTGAGAAGTCGATATTTGATTGATTAATTATCTGCTTACTTTGCATTTAATTGACGTAGAAGGGTCCATTTTTGTGGGAGAATATAGCATTACGATCTAGAAAGTGGGAATTCAACTTATGTTAACGTTCCCAACTTATGTTAACGCATGTTACCGATTGAGCTATGCTTATGTTGAATGATATAAGCATATATGTTGATGTATAACAGGTGGTCTGAGCTCGGGTTTGTATACGTTTAAAATGCATTGTTTTTTGCTATGGGTTTAGTACCCTTTCACTGAGCCAAGACGAGGAGATTCGATACAAAGAGCGAAAGTGTGAGATCCCACATCGGTTGAAGAGGGAGAACGAAACATTCTTTATAAAGGTGTGGAAACCTCTTCCTAACAAACGCGTTTTAAAATCGTGAGGCTAACAGCGATACGTAACGGGCCAAAGTGGACAATATCTGTTAGCGGTGGGCTTGAGCTGTTACAGAAAAATTTCGTTTTCGATAATTTTATGTCAACGTTAGGGTTGTCCTTGTTTTTCTCAGTATTCTTGGTCTATTGCAGGACTTCAGCACTTCTTGGGATATCAAAGCTACTCCTACCTTTTTCTTCCTCAAGGATGGGCAGCAAATCGACAAGCTCGTCGGAGCGAATAAACCCGAACTTCAGCAGAAAATTACTGCAATGGCGGATTCTCTGGTCCCCGACCGGCATTGACTTCTGGTAAGTATCATTTTGAAGCTCTGAATTATGGATGTCTGTTTTATTTTCATCTGTACAATGATTCCTCTTTTCTGTGTATACCTGTGAAGTTGACTTTTTAGAAATATTTATGAGTTCTTGAAGCTTTAGGTTTTGAATTATTGGTCCTGTTCAAGAAAAAATAAGATTTAGATGAAGTATGTACAATCTT